CTTTTATGCAGAAAGGGTCGATATTTTTTCGGGCTTAAGGCCCCGGACCATTTAGTAATCTTCTGCAGGTCTGGCATAGGGATGTGGTTTTGAAGTGGAGTAGGGCGACGATTTGAGAAACCCCACATGTAGAGATAATGCAGGAAGTACACCGGAATGCGTAAAATTGGGTCAAAGCTCCGTAGAAAATTGCGACCAGGATTGCCATTATCTATGCGCTGGAAAACCTGATCAAGCATCATAAGCCCGTAGGCAGCACGACTACATAGGCTTGGGACAAACACTTCACGAACTCAATGCGTCCCAGCTGCGTAGTATGTTGCTCTTTTGCACAGCCACATATACCGAGCCTGTGGCCCAAGATGCCCAAGCAGCTAAGCTTATAGCATCATGGGCCAGAATGGAGCCGGCCGTCATGCTTAAACAACTCACTGGACAGCTCAAGTGCTGGGAAGGCTTTTTTGGAACGTTCTCTGGCTGGGGGCAGACTAAAAATCCTGAACACTGGTCATGTCTTCAAGCTACACTACAACCCACAAGACATTCCTGCAATGCCTATGGCCCGATGCAGTCCCCCAAATGCTCCCTGCGAAGATCCTGATGAAATTTCAAATTCAAAGCCCGGGGCCCATCGCAAACATGATGAAGAACCGGAGGAACGTCACGAAGTAGGACACTGACTCTGGTGAGGCTTCGCGCCGGAGACCACAGCACCCTGCAAACAGGGGATTGGCGGAGCTGCAATGGTATTGTACGCCGATTTAAGGATGAAAATGGTACTGTCAGCTTGTGTTACATTCTGGGTCCCAGCAAGGGAGCTTTGCCATGGGGATTGTATCATAGTGCAGTGCTACATCGTCAGAAATAATCACATTGGCATTCCCAAGGAAGAACCAAAGCCCCGTGAACAATGAAGCCTTGCTCCCACAAGCCTAGACTACGAAACAGGACGCTACAGAACTCAGGCCCAAAGCTCATGAGATAAAGCGGGGCACGCTTAAAGCGGCCCAGCATGACAACCTCAACAGATCCGAAGCATCTATTTGCAATGGAAATCAGCCAAGGGCGATGGTTCCTATCAGCATCTTCCAAGCCTCTTCAAAACTCCCAACTTGACGCCCAAAACCATGAAGCCCACGGTAAAGATCCGCCCTGCGGGCTTCTATGCTGTAAGCAAAATCATTTCAGAACGAGTGAATGAATCAACGAACGAATGAATGGATGAATGAATGAAAGTCTTATGGTAGCAGAACTCATTCAAGTCCCTCTAGCAAAACACTCTATCCCCGTAAGGAGGTCCTAGGCAACGTCCGGGGAGACGGAGCCAGGTGCCGCGGAAGCTTCGCAGCCAGTAAGGCCGACTCCTTGAAAGGCAGTGAATCTACAAAAAAGGCAATGAATCTACACATGTTCTACTTCAATATATAGAGATGGAAAAAGGAGGCATGTTTCGGAAATTTGTTGGGAATGTGCGGCATCTGGGATGGATTCTGATCAGGTATTGAATTGCTTGATTGCTAGCTCTGAACTCCCGCAGCTCCCAGCCCCGGCTTACCCTGAATGCATCCAAACAGCATCTCCAGGGCTTGGTCGCCCACCTGATTACCTCATTTTTGTCGGCTTGTGTCCCCCTTTAGGGTGATTTTGCAGGAATCTTGCAATTTCACGTGAAAGGAATTAGTCTCGAGCGCAAGACGAAAAAAGGTCCTGCCGTGGCGCACAGGCTGTACTGCAGGGTCCGAACGAGCACAAGGATGCAAACCATCGCCTGGGCATCTTGCGAGGAATGCAAGCAAAGTGATGACACCAATCATCAAAAGCACGTAGACCATCATCAGAAATGAGTAATAGCTTGGGAGACTTCCACGGCCAACATCATCGATGCAGGTAAGGAATGGTCACCGTGCCAATTGTCAGAGCCATGACAAGTCAGAGATGCCAGGTAAAGGTTACACGCAACAGCAAAGAGCAGGACGGCTGCCAAGAGCCACACCATACTCAACACGGAGATCCCCAACACGGAGATCCCAACCGGGTGTTAACTGGCCTCACAGAATTCATCCCCTCGCAGCTGAGACACAACATCATTATCAAAGAGGGGGCAGCGCTCTTCGAAACCATTCGCAGCAAATTCTACTAAGGTGCTGCATCTTTCAGACCTGCCAGATAGATCAGCGTGCCCAGAACCTGGATCAGATGATATCAATCAAAACCAGGCTCCATCATGGATGCTTTGCGTAATCTTGCGCAGGAGATTGCACGAGCCAGAACACCTGCTTGAGATGCCTTACACTTTGGGGTGCTCAAGCTCAGTATGCAGTTGGGGATGATACTCGATTCTACAGAAAATCTGCCGAACGCTATCCTAAATGGTGACCAGAGACAGGGTACACCAGCAGCGCTACCAGGTTGCCTCAGATCTTCATGGTCATCTAGGATGCCACAGGCACTAAGAAAAGCCAGATTCGTGCAAACAATTGATACGAAAAGCATGAGTAGACTTTGGGTTTGCTTGCGAGGGATGAATAACGTCTTCCATCTGTTCGAACTGAAACATGACAGTGGGACTGCTGCTGAAACCACCAACACACATCTGGGCAAGCTGTGGTGCATATTTTGGATCGTGGAACGGGCATACAATCGAACCATATCGAACCACTGATCCCTTCACAGCAGAGGTGATCTTGTTCACAATACTGGTCACGACTGTCAGTCAAGCATGTGCCCATGCCCTCCTCCTGCTGCGTACTTTAGGCCACTTCATCTGTATAGAATTATGAACATTAGACTGGCCACTCCATGCATAGGCTTTCGCAGCCAAGCGTGATAGGCTGCGGCTGCTGATCTGCTTCCCCTCCACGTATGCGTGGATACGAGGAGTCAGTGCAGAGGCAAGGAATTCCACCTGATTTTGTAGCGTGGGCTGAGGCTTGGGGCCTGGGATTTAAAACTCTGACAGATCCGACAGCTTCGGACCCTCATGCCTTCATTACACATCTGTGCCACATGCCATCCTCACTGAAAAGAAGTACGCAGGATGTTGCCGGGTTTCAGTTCGAAAGCACAGCGCCATGCACACATATGCACTCCACATGAGTCCAACTACTGCTTAAAGCGATGGATCCCACAGCTGCAACAAGACCTCAGCTTGAAGTGCAGAAGCGCCGTTTGACTGACCTACCCTAGCCAGAGCCCAACATCTTGCACCAGCATAATGTGACGAGACGCCACAATCTCAGCCGTCGTGGTGACAAGAGAAATCAAAAGGTAGCACCACCCCAGCTCCTGCAAAGTCTTCATCAATGCCTGTTCTGATGTACCACATTCCTGCTCAATGATCTGTGCAGCTACTCGCCTCCAGACATGGCATGCTCGCGAAGAGCACTTGGCTTCGATGATAGACTACGACAAATACGCCAAACCAAGCCAGCAAGAATACCTTCACCCTGTCACTCTCAGGTCCTGTGTTCTTCACTCATCCTGTCTTTGTATGGTCTGGAAGATGGTGTGATTCAATCCTACTAAACTTTTTCGGAGGCTTGAACACACATGAGACGACATGCATTAGATATTGCAAGGAGGAAACCTAATTGACCCTCCACCTACCTCTGCCTCAACAACCCTGTGGAGTAAGAACATATCAGCAGGTCCTCTGCAAGGAGCAACGCCTCGTACCTCAGCAGCTGGCACTCAGCAAGCACCAGCAGCAAGAATGTAAATCTTGTTATGTGAATAGCAGCTGGAGCGTACCGATCCAACATCTTGTTCAAGCCCACGGAAGCTGGAGTCTAGAGTCTAGAGTGAGAAGCAGCAGAAGAATCCTTAGTGGTAGCTAGATAGAAAAGCTTGTTGGAGGACATGCAGGAACCAGCTTGCCTCGACAACTTCCCAAAGGTTTCTTCACAACTGTTGCCAATGCTTGGCCATGAACTCGTAGCAAGCTGCTGGAAGATCTTGCCGGTGGCCCAAGAAAGGCTATCCAGTGCAAACATGCCTTAAGAACAGGCTGGTTCTTGGCCATGATATGCTTATCCCTCGTGGAGGCGGCTACCCCTCAAGGCTGCCAGGAATCTTAGGTCTTAGGCTTGAACGAAGGTTCCCAGCGTGTGGCGCGTCAGCTGCCCTGATTGAGGTCCTGATTTGTTTTGCCTTGTATTCTGCCAACCTGGCAACCTGCATTGACTTCTCTGCGCTGCTGATATTCAGGTTAACTCCGGCCGCGCGCAGGGCAAGAGCTTATCCAAAGGTCGTCCATGAACGACACCCAGTAAATGAGAGAGCCAGGTACAACAGAAAGTTAAGGAACGCGCATGCGGTGAGCCCCCAACTAGCCGACCTTGCCAGCAGCTCGGCTGCAATCCTCGCCAGTAGAACACGTCAAGGTAAGCTTGCGCCAAGTGGCTCAAAAGGAAGTGGCACGAAAGGATGCGGTCATGGTGGACCTCCGGGTCATTAGAGCATGACTGGAAAAGAATGGTATGCGAGACCTAGCAAAGGAGATGCTGGAAGCATTAGTTGACTTGGTTCTTGACTGTAAGGGTGGTGCCTTCCTAATGCTTTCATCCACGCTCCCATTCTTGCCCTGCTAGCGCCTGTGTAAGAAGGGCAGGCCATGAACAGTTGGGAGGCTTGGGGAACTCCTTTGCCCAGACATCCCATTAAAAGCTACATGCCATCAAGGACTGGGGCATCCTTCTTCCCCTAACTTGCCTCTATAGATTCTATAGAATCGAAATGACTGCGGACCCCGTCAAGCCCAAAGGCGCCTCCTTGCCGGGGCCATCCTCTACAGCAACCAGGGAGGTAAGCGCCTAGAAATCCACTGCTTCAGGACTGGCCTAGGGCCTAAGGCCTCACCTTTGAGGACTCAGATATGCTTCTGGCAGGAGCTATTCACGTGGTCGATGCACATGAACAGGCTTGACTTTTCTCTCTCTGTTGGCATTTTTGCGCAAATTGCACCTCATTGGTCACAGGGACACGAAAGGGAAAATGCGGGCTCACATGCCACCAAGGACGGTCTTGGCTCGGATGAGGCTCTCCTTCTCCTCGGTGCGGGCCTGCTCACGCAAGTCGAAGTGCTCCAAGAGCCAGTCACACTCACCGTGAAGATCGGAGGTGTACTTGGCAGCCGCAGCAAACTCTTGCTTCTTGCCTGACTTCTCCTTCTTGTCATCATTAAGATCAGCCTCAAGGTCCGCCTTGTCCTGTGCTTTGGAGGCAGCAAGGGCCATGTCCGCCTCGCGCTTCTTGGCCGCGTCGGCCACAGTCTCCTGGTAGTCTGCCTGAGCATTCTCCTCCTCCGTCTTGGCCACGGCCATCTCCTTCGGCTTCAGAAGGGGGATGAACCCCTGCTGCGTTGTAAAGGATTAAGGGGAACACTGCAACACCCGCCCCCAGCCAATCTGCATGTTGAATGCACCGCCTACTTCCCTGCCATTCTACTATTTGGGCTCTGTGATTGTGCAAGAAGTGGACAGTGGATGGAGATGGGGAGTGTGGGGGATAAGTCGTCATCCTTCTCGATGTCGCTGGTCAAGGTATCGATCATCTTGAGAACACCGTTGCTCTCCTCACTCTTCTTCTGGTAGCCACCCTCGAAGGTCGGAGGGGGCTGCTGAACCTTCCACAACGTTCAGAACCCGCAAGGGATGAATTCTAAGACTTTAAGAGCTTCCTTGGACTTCAGGTCATGGTCAAAACCACGAAGCTCCAAGATTCTGAACTTTTGACCCCAAGCCTCTCAAACACAAACAGAAACAGTGGATGCGGCCCTTGCTGAGGCCGTTACTTTACCCTCAGCCTTGAGCCTTAAGCGAGTGTGGTGGTCCACAAGCACCCTTGCCTTGGAGGAAGCACGCTGGAAGAAGGAGAGGGCATTGGCCTCGAGAGACTTGAGCTGGATGAAGCTCCTGCATTCATGTCTCATACTGCGGCCAGATACACCTCTGGCTAGAAGTATCACCAATCAGAAGAGAAGCCCTGAAAATGAAGTCCGTAAAGCGGAGACCTTGGCCTGACTGAATTCCCCGTATCGCTATCAGCAGGCGTAGCATGGGACATAATAATTGCCAAAGGCACGACTGTAGAAGCGCATAGGGATCGTAAGGGCTCTTCGTAGTGGTCTCCGTGACCATCGTCGGGTTGTAGACCTTAAGCAGTGGCTGTCGATGTGGTGCTTTGGGGAGAAAATGTGAGGAACAGACACCAAACGTCAGAAAGGGCATCTATATCACTTGCCACGACTAACCTTTTCTAAGTTCTGTCCTTGTCGCGCCGCGCTCTACCTCCAATATCAACAATTCAAAAAGTTGTCATCATCGCTGACCGCTGAGCCTATGATTTCAGAACTTAATATTCCTCAGTCAATCTTCTGTCAATCGCACAGTCCAGCACAAGTCAGCCCAAAACAGCCCATTGGACATTAACACAAGGACTGCGTCATAGATATGAGAAGCTTCAAAAGGTCTTCGTACATGAAGATCAGTGCCTCCTCAAACCAGAGCAAGACCTTGAACCGGCTGAAGCCCAAACCCCACATTTCCCCTCATCCCCAAAGGTCCTTACGTTGCCCTCGCCACCTGCCTCCCCAAACTTGCAAGAGCTCTGTGAATCCCACACATACGCCTGCGCAGCGTCCTTCCTAAGCCCGAGGCCTTGTTCATCCGGTCCCTCGCCAGCTGGAGCAGGTCCAAGGCCGCGGAGTTGGAGGATGTGCTCTCCTCCCGGACTCATCCGGATTCCCCGGATGGAAACCGTTGCAGATGCACTGGCCAATTCGATTTGCACTATCTAATGTTATAATCGCACTGTCCTAATGAACAGACATGCTGACAGCTTCCACCCCTGTATCAACAATGACTATCACGCGAAGTCTTTTCCCAGGGCTCCTAGATCGCGATGGCCTTAACACGGGCAATGAGCACATAGGGATAGAGCAGGAGCCTTCACATTAAAGCACATTACTAGCTCCCAGAAAGCCGCAGGACTGGGATTGATACCCTAATGTCAACCATCCTAACACATCAGTTCAAGCAGACATGAGAACCACCATTAAGTTGCTCTACCTTCTGTCATTCGAATTCTTGATAGTAATTTAGAAAATGGCTTAGATGCCCCTGTGGTGGCTCCTTTTTCCTGCTAGACCCCTTGACATCTAGAGGCCCGGTATCGGTGTGAGTGATTTCTTGTAGCTTCCGACTGGTGTGCTACCGTTCTTGTCACATCCTTTTCTTGTTAAGGATGACCGACACGCATAACAGTGACCAAACTCAAACTGAGTAGAGAGCAGAGAAGCTTGACCGTGAACCATTTTATACGAGTCTGTCAAGCGGAGCTCACTTCTCCGGCTGATTCACGCACATCGAAACTGACAGTGGCGGTGTTGCCTCCACATGCGCGCGACATCTACCTTCAATCTGAAGTAGTTGCCTCTTTCTTGAGGCTATCTCAGGCCATGAAATTCTTGCTTTTTCGTGTCTATGTTCAAATTTACGTTCGGGATTTGAGGGTTGGGCTTCAAGGATTTCAGGCTGAGCAGGTTCCTGCATGAACAACAAAAGGTTAATGGACAACGGACCTTACTTGAGTTTGGGCCATGTTCAAGCTTTGAGAAAACGCGCGAAGATGGCGAATTCAGACGTTTTGCAAGGGCTGTTCAAAGCCCACCCACCAGCAGTCCAGCTTCGTTGCCTTTGAAATTCTGTCCAAACATCCCGGACCAAAATGCACTGCAAAAGCTTTGATCACACCCCAGCAGTCCTGATACTCGGAGTGCTCAGCCTTGCGGTTGTCCCCAGCCTTGGCCACGGACTCATCCAAGGACTCGACGCCTGCCTGCAGGGCGCTGATATCTCCGGCAAGCTTGGTGATGGCCGTCTTCTTCTCCTGGACAAATTTTGGTTTGTGGGATGTTCAGCGCAAAGGCCGTCTTCTTGAATCCTGAACTTATGGTCCTGTTTCGCCTCGCTTGTATGATGCATATGATGCAGGTGTCGGGGCTTGATTTTGAGTTTGGTTCATTCATTAGCATACGCTTCTTGAAGCAACATGTTTATATTGCAAGCGGGCTGGAAGTAGTCCTTCAATTTTCTGCAGCTTCACGAGGACAAGTACCGAGCAATTAAATAAGGGAAGGGAACCGATGTTCTGGAAGAGTTCAAGAACTATGTAGCGTGAACACCAAGGAAACAGAACACTCCAGTTAGATCCCTTCAAACTCCAACCATCGGGTCTCCTTCACGCTGGCCGTCAGGGACTTGATCTTGGCATCCAGCGTCTTGGACTTCTGGGCAACCTCCCGGAACTCCTCCCAACCACAAGTAGATAGAATATGGGGTAATATTGTGGTTTTATTGGGGTTATATGGGAATAATGGAAAAGAAAATGGAAGCTACTATAATGGGTTATATAGGATATGGGTTATATAGGACTGCTGCTGTACGGGGATGCCAGGATCATGTACTGATTGTATCGGGGATATAGGATACGTGAACAAAATCGAAGCAACCCCTGTCCTTCTTGCAATAGGACTGCTTGGCGACATCGTCCGAGGACTCGTTTGCCAGCAGCTCCACCATGCTGTCGATCTTGTCCAGGATCTTGCCGAAGTCGGCCTTAGGGCCCCAAAAAAACATGAATAAAGAGGAGGTGGGCTTCAGTCTATGTCTATTAAAATCTTACATCAAAAAAACCTAGTGGCCTTCTTTCCGGAAAGCGCCAACGCCAGGAAGTTGAGCTCCGGGTGGCTGGCATCCTTCTGCTTAGCTGCGGCAATCATTGCCAGAGCCTCGTGGCGGGCCTTCTCGCGGTTTGTAGAGAGCTGCAAAAAGGCTGCGCTCCTGGCCCTGAAGAGGTCCAAGGACTTGTCATCACTGAGGATCTTGATGGTGTCCTTCAGAGCAAGCTGCTCCTCGGCACGGGCAGCCTTGCGAACCTCCCAGTCCGAAGCCTTCTTGCTGCAGCTCTTCTTGAGCTCTGCCAGCATCTTCTTGTCATCCTCAATGGACTCGCCCATCTCGCCGAGCTCGTGCTTCATGTTCACGACTTCCAACTTCTTCTCACCAATGGTCTTCATCTTCCTCTCGAACTGATTCAGGAGAGTGGAGATCTCGGTCTTCTTGGCAGTCTTAACCTCCCCGTAGCTCTCCACCGCGGTCTCCTCAGTCGTGTTCTCCACCTTGATCTCATCAACGGTGTTGTCCTTGATCTCGGAGAGCATGCCGACGACATATCCCGGATCGGCAGCGCTGCGCTGGCCGCTGAGGAAGGCCGTCACCTTTTGCTTGGCCTCCGTGTCGGCGCGCGAGCGCTCCACGGCACGAAGCATCTTGGACACAGACTTGGAGCCCTTGGCCTTCTGGAGGAAGGCAGTTGCACCCTCAGGCGAGCTCAAGGCCGCAGTGGCGCTGTCAACACTGTGCACCACCTCAGTCTCTTCGTTGACTTCCTCCACATAATGTTCGTGCTCCTTACCTCGTTGGGCAGTGGCTGCCTTCAGTGTTTCCTCCTCAGCGATGCGATCGTCCTTCAGCTTTTGGATCTCCTGCTCGAGGCCCACAATCTCGGACTGCTTCTTCTCAATGTCTGCGGGTGTGATTGGATTGCTCTCCGCTTGCATGATGTTCTCCTCCAGCTCCTTCATGGTGTTTTTGCAGTAGCAGTCAAACTTCTCGTAGAGCTCTGCCTCCTTCTCTCCCTCAGACTCGACCTTTTCGGACAGCTTCTCCATCATGGTGATCACCTTGCGGATGGGGTTGCCACCGTTGGCGGCATCCGTGCGGGTGGTGATGGCAGCGCCTTGGGCAAGAATCGCAAGCAGCACCAAGGTGGACTTCATTGCAAATGGTATTGGCGTACGCGAACAGAGGGTTCAGGTATTGCCTAGGATTGGCGGTAACCGCTAAGCCTCTTGAGCCGTAGCCGCTTCCGGCAAGCAAGGTCAAGATCTGACGCTCATCCATCATGTTTTTCCTCCCTCGCAAGTCAATGAGAATGACGCAAGGGGATGCTTGAGCAGATGTCCATGGATGTCATAGCGAGAAGCCAATCACGCTTAGGGCCAACATTAGCAATCACCCCAATGCGGAAGGACGGATGGGAATCCGCATTAAACTGAAGAAACCTCGAATTAGGCTTGTGATCATGAGGGTGCTGAGCGCTGCGCAGCAACCACCAGCTTGGTGGAGTTCGCCGGCTGTTGCTGTTGGACTTCTGGGACCCTTGCACCAGGCTTAGAGAGCAAATCTGGGTGAGGACTTCAGGCTCACTCAGGTTCAGAGTCGGATGTCTCGGGGTTTGGGGAATTCAAGCCACAATTGTAGGCATGCCGCACAAGTCAACTCAACTCCATAGCCAGCCTTTTCAAGTCAGCACTGCGCCCATGATCCCAAGATGTCCCAAAGCAAGCCCTTCCTAGGCCCTACACCACTTGAATCCTACGAAACTCCTTCAGTAGCCCAAACCCTGAAAGACGCACAGCAGAGTAGCAGCGCATGTGGCTTCCCAATCCGCGCGATCTGCTGTGCTCTTTTTTCCATGCCATGCCCGCATGCATTTTGTGGGCAGGACAGTACCGGAAATCTCGGTGGCCACATGAGGCCTCGCTTCACAGCTGTCACTGTCGCAAGCCAGGAAGCACCCGAGCGACTCCACAAGCCGTGAAAGAGCAGCTTCCAGCAGGCTGTCTTGTGCGCGCTACAGGCCCTCTCGCAATCTTGAAGGAAGTTGCAAATGAGTTCGTCCTCCATGACCATTCCATATATTCAGCATGTGGGAAATGAGGTTAAGACCTCAAAGCCGGGCACCATGCAACTGAATCTCGACCATCACTATGACTGCCGGTCCATTCACAGCCACCACCGAAATCCTCTCGCCAGGCTGCCTAAAGCTGGGTCGGGCAGTCTCGAGGTATCAACATCAGGCACACACTTCTGAATCGCTCAAATGCAGCGTGCCAGAGAAAAGGAGGAAGCCAACCGGCCAAGCTGCATGATCAGGGCTTCGCCAGCCGGAATCTTGAACCTGGAGATGCAGTACATTCGCTTCTCGGCAGCATTGCTTCTCTCTTGCTTCCAATTCTACACTGGCAAGCAAATCAAGTCTAACATCCAGATCCAACACCTGAGGCCCCTGCCCGTCACCCCCGCCGTCAGCGCGACAATCTGGGCAAAGGCAAAGCTTGCCTTCGGTCTCACGATCTGTAAGACTTGCTTGTGAGGGTCCTGCGGGCTTTGCCTCGGGCTTGATCTTGATACAGGCATCCCAAAGCTGCTGTCAAGTCAACTATGCTGCCAAGATAACCATGCTATTCAAGGGCCCTCGCAAAAGCAACGGTAGGATCACCTACTCGCATTTTTCCTAAACTTGAATGAAGCCTTTTGAATCTGAGCCTTCTTTATTCAGGATTTGAGTTGTCGACACTTAATTTTCTGGTTGTAGGCTCTCAGGATTTCGAACTAGACCTCCAACCTAAACCTTACTGTTCTTAATGGTTTGGACATTTGTTGCTTTGATTTCAAGGCTTTTTGCCCCAAGATGCCTCCGCATTTGAAGTAGCTTTGACCCCTATTCTGGCCAATTTTTGTTGCTTCAAATCAAGGTTGTTGCGCTCGGATGACCTGCAGCTATCGTTTTCAGATCAGAATGTTTTCTGCGGGCTCTTAGCATGAACTTTGGCCGGATGGCGTAAGGGCGTAGGCACTTCCGAAGGCTATAGCAGCAACCTCTTGCATGATTTCTGGGTAGCCGTCATCAATTTCACAACTTTTTGATAAAGACCTGATTACTAGGCCTGTCTTAAAATCAGAAGCGGCGAGCTGATTTGGAAACCTGATTTGCTTAGCAAGGCTGCTGGTAAAATGACAATAAGAGAACTGATTCAGAGACCTGATTTGCTTATTGAAATTCATTGGGCATTAAATTAAAAGCTCAAACATTGCTTCCTGAGCTATCCAATCCTGAACGTCCTGGACCAGAACCCTGTTCAAGAGGAGTGGCCACCCTGTCGCTGCCAGCGTGGGAAGTAGGCCGTAGGAAGGCCGCCCAAGCTGAGCAGAACCTGCAAATAAGGAGGTTTGCAACGGCTACCACAGCTCCTCTCCTCCCAAACCCCTTGAAAGCCAATAACGCATTTGGGCGGGGCTTTCGTTGTTTGTCTGGTGGCAGGTGCTGGAGGCCCTTGTCCCACAACGGCCTGACCAAGTCGCGGGCAAGGGGCTCGGGCCTGCTGTAATTCCGTTTTGCGCGGCAATGCCAGCACATGCATGGCGTCTTTGGTGGACGCAAGGCTCACAGAAAACTAAGGCGATGCTGTCGCCAGCTGACCGGAAGGAATCTGCCAGACGCAACTTCCCTGCACTGCGGTGATGCTGCTGTCCTGGTCACACTATCCCGTGCGCAGGCGATGTCCGGGGTTAAAGTTGAGGTGCAGCGCTACAGCCTCTGCCATGACCAGCACATCCGTGACCCAAGGCCTGCTCAGGTCACCTCTTCAGGAGTGGGCCACAAAAATCTCTAATGTATCACCGAATCCAACGTCGAAACCGGTTCATTGCGCATGCTGGCATCGCCACGGTCCTGGAACTCATCACACTCAATGTGAGGACGACCTTCCACTTTTTTGGCTGGAACACGCAACTGCAACACCGCCAATCGGTGCCGGTGTGCGCTCTTGCTGGCTGGCATCGGCTGGCCGCGCATTGTGGCGGGTGCGGACGCTCAGCTGACGCTCAGCAACCGTCAAAACTGGCTTCGCTAAGCTGCATTCTCGCCTTCTCAGTTTCGTTGCTGATGGGGGTGTGCAGGAGGTTCTTGGGTCTGGCAACGCCGTTTGTGCGCCCACTAGGGTTGTCGGTCCAGGACTCGAGGCTTTGCTTCTCGGTTGGGTTGCGGTGCCGCCACCCTGCACCAGACGGCAGGCATCATCAGCATTGTTGAACCCCTGTTTCTCTTGTCTGGCTCGGAGTTCAGTCGCTGCGGCCTTTGGCATCAGCCCTAAAATATCCCCCAATTTACACCGAGCGGCCACCAGCGAGCAGGGACATGTCTCAACGATCTCCTCTGCAGCCAGCTGAACAGGCCGGACCTCATGCGAGGCCTGCAAGTCAAATTGGGCAAGTCAGTTCAGAAGCAATCTGGGAGTCCACTTCCATTAGTTGCATGGGTCAGACTTTGGGTTGGGTTCGGCTGCACTCCGTTAAAATTTCCGAGAGGCCTACTGTTATGGAATTTCAGGCCAACATTTTGAGTGAAGACTTAGTTAAAACTCCGATGTGATCCTTCGCACCCAAGACGAATCCCCTCATGCACATCAAGCAGCTTTGAACGCTAGCAAGGGCGTTTTTTGCGTTTAGGAATGTACCAGGGTCCCCATGTGTCTCTCTCTCTCACGCAAACTGGGATTCGTCAGCACCCCACACGTACCACCAAACAAGACGCACAGGATATGCATCATCCTCATCGTAATGAACCTAAACGTCTATAATATCATTCAAAAAGAAGGAGAGCCATGATAATAATCGCCATTAAAAAAAAAAAAAACAGCTGCAGGAGTGACCCTGCTCGGTCCTGATTGGGACTGGTGACCACACGGAGAGCTTGGCCAGGCAGGGTGGCAGGGAGCTCGCCCTCACCAGAAAGAGTGGTAAATGAAAAAAGTGAGGATCTAGAGCGAGTTTGAAGCTCTTCAGCACACAGATTGCGTAGCAATTTAAGGAAGAGGTTTTAGAGAACATGTTAGTGGAAGAAACCCTGCACCACCTAGCCACCACCTAGCCCAATTTCTGGGAACAGTAGGGGGGTGCCGGTTTCTAGGTATTCGCCCTTTTCTTACATCGGGGCCCTGCCAACTGTTGTTACACATGTCTGTCTTGCTAGGAACTGGAGCCTGCTGAAAGATGGAAAAAGTCGCCATCGGCCCTGCGCTTGAGAAGGAGGTCCGCGCGCCGAAATCTGTCAGATGCTGAACCTGCCGGGCAATTTTGCGAATTGCACCGGGTGCAATTCTATTTGAAGTCATAATTGTGCAAGATGACAATCTCAAATCGCTCAAAGGATCTAGTACAGACCTGCTGGACTAGATGAAGAAGGTGTTGGGGTGCACCTATGGTGCACCCTCAGATGTCTCCAAAGATGATTTCGGATGCACTTATGGTGCATCGATGTCTGTTTGACATTATGGAGACTGGGAACAATCGAACTTTTCCAGGGGGAATGTGAGACATGGAGG